ATTATTATTATTATTTTATGTTAATTTTTTATTATCCGTGAATGTTAGCAACTGGACAAATTGAATGCAGCGGTCAAGGAAAAGCGACCACAATTGGTCAATCGCAAAGGTGTCATTTTCCACCTTGACAATGCTAGGCCGCACACGTCTTTGTCCACTCGGCAAAAATTGATGGATATTGCTTGGGAATTGATGTTACACCCATCATATAGCCCTGATCTCGCGCCATCGGATTACCACTTATTTCGATCCCTGGACAACTCCCTTCGTGGTAAAACTTTTAACGATGACGACGCTGTAAAATCTCACTTAACTCAGTTTTTGGCCGAAAAGGATCAGACTTTCTACGAGCGTGGAATTTTCAAGTTGTCGGAGAGACGGCAAAAGGTCATCGAACAAAATGGAAAATACATTACAGATTAAACTTCGTTCCAAGTAAAAAAAATTTTTTATTTCATTGAACAAATCGGCAATTACTTAATTGCCAACCCAATACATTATATATGTATTAAATTAAATTATAGAATCGATATTGTTCTCACAACTGAGAAGTAATAGTCTAAAACAGCTAATAAAGTGTAATCTCGTAAGAGCAATTTAGCTGATTGCATATTTTCTATAAATTTAGACAAATGATTGGTAAAATGCAGTATCTACTTACGTGGAATAGGATAGGCGTATTTGTCGGGATGTTTTGCGATGATCGTATTTTTTATATGCCGACGACCAACACCATGGGCTCCTAATAAGACTAGTGTTTTCCGCTGGAATGCAGGATCTGCGGAAAAATTTGTTGAAAATATTACAAAACAAACGCGAAAATGTAGTAGTTGAAAAAACGAACGACATTACGTAGAAGCCGAGGGTTTCTCGAGTAACGATAGAAACGATGGTTGAACTTACAGGGTAGCTTAACGACCTCCTCGTAGGTGACCAGATCCAGCTGGTCAAACACTGCGTTGTGTTTTGCGAGATACTTATCCTTGTATTGCTTCTTTTTTCGGCCAAATATTGAGCAATTCACTGGAAAACGCGAACAATTCGTTAATTACATATATTTGGCAGGAGTCGAACGACGTCGAGACCGACCAAAACAAAAAATATTCTGCAGAGGAAACAGATTCTGGTCCCATTTTTTTTTGCGCGCCTCAAATCGATTCCCCGCAGATTTACTATAAAATGTATCATCGTTTATGCTGCATTACCAAAACAACAGAACTAAGGAACAAATTAAGAAACGAGTTCGAACTCATCGGAATCGTATTCAATCGATCAAATGCAACCGTGGAAACAATATTTCGTCTGTTCGTTAGACAGCCATGAAACAATAAAGCTCGAATGTTACTCTTGAAATATCTCGATACGATTAAAATTTGTCTAACGCGCTATTATACATAGTTTCGCAGATCCGTGTTCTCTCTGACACGGTCTTACTCTACGTTACACGATCCCGTTCAATTGACTGATTCATCGATACTCTAGCAAAATTATTTACAGAAATATTTAACTGCAAAGAGAACAATGTATGCAAGCTGTTTTTGTAACATGGGAAGTATGTTGAAAAAATGGATTTCGGATCTCGAGGATTTTTAGCTTTCTGGTCATTAATAATCGCAAAAAAATTGCGATGTAATAATAATAATAATATTTTCGAGATTATAATTTTTACGAAATAGTACTAATATTTTTGCGAGATAATAATATTTACGAAATAATAATAATATTTAGTATATAATAATAATATTTGCGATATAATAATAATAATATTTACGAGATAATAATAATATTTACGAAATCATAATAATATTTAGTATGTAATAATAATATTTGCGATATAATAATAATATTTACGAGATAATAATAATATTTACGAAATAATAATAATATTTAGTATATAGTAATAATATTTGCGATGTAATAATAATAATATTTACGAAATAATAATAATATTTGCGATATAATAATAATAATAATATTTACGAGATAATAATAATATTTGCGATATAATAATAATAATTGCGACACAACAATAGTAAATTTTCATCGAAATCGTAGAATTCCGAGTAAGTTTTGAAGTCCATTTTTACAACATTTTCCGCACATTAACACGTTAACTACCACGGACCAATGGTCAACCTTCACGGTACAATAAACGCACAACTTCACAGCGTACAATCAATATAAAATAGTCATCGTTAAATGCAGAATTTTCGTACGATAGATTTAACGAGGTGTATGCCAGCGTGAACGGGGATGAATTCGACAGTGAACGTGTTAAGGCAACCCTGCGTATAACCAGAAAGTCGATTAGAAATAGATAAAGAATAGATTTCCGGCGATATAAAAATTATTCCGTGAACATGTACAGATGAGAACAAAACAGAGGAAGTAATATCTGTATCGTATTAATTAATATACGTATGTAATATTGCTATGGACATTCATAACGCACGTTCCTTTTAACTCGACCAAAGTGTGACGTGTGATATACATATGTACACAGGGTGTTTCATTAACTTCCGCACACGTATTTCCGATCGCTTCTTTTGATCCGACGAAAACATGTTTCGTACAAATATTTATTTATTGGTTTCCTGTCGGCTACGTAATGAAATGCTCAATTTAAGAAAGTTGTTATTATCTCGATAAAAAAATCTAGATAGCCTTCGTTTCTTAAAAATGAAACTGCCTATTCTCTTTGCTTCATATCATTATAGTTCGTATTAAGATTAATTCAACGAACCGCTATAGCACGACCTTTGGACGCATGCGGTAACACAGACCGAAATGTGCTAATTGCTGTTACAACTAGAACATAGATTCCACTGTGAACGTAGATTGTAACATGATTTTGTCGCCAGTTAACCCATATCGTTTGTGAGAGATTACAAATGTTCCACGGAATTATTGTTGTATCTATCATTCTATATTATTTGAATTTACGTGGCGATCATTTTATGTATAATAATAAACTTATCGATCCACCGATTGATGTATCTTAAAATAAAGTAATTTTCATCTTTGACGAGTTTCAACTGTTCGAACTCGATAATTTCTCAGTTCGTGCTCATCCGAAGATCATGTTACAGCATGTCGTTGAATTCGTCTTGGCACGAACTACAATAATATGAAATAAAGAATATGCAATGCCATTTTAAAAAAAAAGAAACTTGAAGGCGATCTCGATTTTGTATTAAAAAAATAACAATTTCGTTGAATTCAATATTTTATCATGTGGCCAACAGAAAATCGATAAACTTCTGTTGGAAACATTTTTTTGTCAGATCGACAGATGTGTTCAAAAAATGTGTGCGAACGTTAAGGAAACACCCTGCGTAATATACGAAATAATAATAATAATAATAATAACAATAACAATAATAATATATATTATTTTATCCTGCACACATGTAAAAATATCATCGTTATTTTTGCCAATATAAAGAAACGTGTCAAGACTACTTTGCTTAGTTCAAAGCTAAGAATACTGTGATTCATGAATTTTTCTCTCAAGGTCACTTTTCCCCAAGTATTGAAGGCGAAATAAATTGATTACTTATGAAAAACAGCAATTTCTGAATTTCTTGATTGCCTTCAAGATCGCGTGATTTTCCATTCAAGGTTATTTAAAGGTCACCGTGTCAGAGGTCGTTGTGTTCGTCTCGATGTGCACCACAGTGCTGCGCTATAAAAAGTAGTAGTCAATGTGCAAAGAAATATGCGATGACCTTCAATGCTTATCAAAAAAGACCTTGGAGAAAAAGAGACACGAGTCACAATATTTTTCGCTTTGAACTAAACAAAGTTCTCCTGACGCATCTTTTTATATCTGTAAATCTAATGGAGATATATTAATGTGCAGGGCAAAATAAATATCCTATATATATACAGGGTGTTCGAAAATAACCCATTCAATATTTATATGGTACATAGTATACAGTGTACTGAGTAAAAAAACTTTACTAAATATAGGTCGAAAGGTCGTCCGTTTCTGAGATATAAACATTTTTGTTTGCTAGTATCACGATTGACTCACTTATGGGGACATTTAAAAAGCCTAGCGTATTCCTCGCCGATAAATGACTTAGAAGAATTACGTAACCGAATCCACCATGCTTGTCAAACAATTCAATAGAAACGTAGAATCTTCGAGAGAGTTCGCGACTCTGCGACAAGAAGGTGCAAAGCGTGTGTAGAAATCGAAGGTGGACACGTGGGAAAGCTTTTGTAAACATCGAAAATTCGGTAGTAAGTCGATCGTGATATTAGCAAACAAAAATGTTTATATCTCAGAAACGGTTGATCTTTCGACCTATGTTTACTAAAGCTTTTTTACTCGGTACAATGTATCCTATATACCGTATAAATATTGAACGGTTTTTTATTAACACCCTGTTTATACAGGGTGTCCCAGGTTTTAATGTTGAAACTTTGTTAGTGTATTCTATGACGCAAAGTAAGAAAAAAATGTTATGTAAACATAGGTCATATAGAGCCTGTCTCTTATACACATCTAGATGTGTATAAGAGACAGGATCAGCACATGCCGTGTGTTTATGTAAACTGTGTTTATTAATACATTTCGAAATGTATTAATAAACACAGTTTACATAAACACACGGCATGTGCTGATCCTGTCTCTTATACACATCTAGATGTGTATAAGAGACAGGATCAGCACATGCCGTGTGTTTATGTAAACTGTGTTTATTAATACATTTCGAAATGTATTAATAACCGTTGTTGACAATACATGATTGACATCGATCGAAGATTTTTTTTTATTTTTTATTTTTATTTTTAGTTGATTACTATTCCTATTCTGAATTTTTGTTATAACTTCTTAATAAAGCTCTATATGACCTATGTTTACATAACATTTTTCCCATACTTTGTGCCATAGAATACACTGACAAAGTTTGAACATTAAAAAACCTGGGACACCCTGTATAATATATATTCAAACACTTAGCAGTCTCTATGCTAGTCAGCATCCTCCTCGGAAACGTTCGAACAATTAGCATTGTACGCGCAATAGAAGTATAAAGAGCTACTATCCGTAGAATGTCAATCTCCGTGTAAGCGTATTCTTGTCTAAATGGTAAAAGAGATTTCATTCAAGTCAGCCAGTTTACATAGAAGCCATAACCATAAGGAGGGAAGTGGGATTCCCACAGTGAGATGGGCGTTCCAGCAGGTCACAAGATAAAAGAAGAGGACTACCGGGTAGTCTAATGCGTAGACCTTGAAAATTGGTGTCGCGATCACCAGCACGACCATGATGACGTTGAACGAGCCCGCGATTAGTACGACTGAAAATCGTTTTGCAAATGAAAAGCTCCATCGTTAATATTAATGAAACGTGTAATCAACGCTAGGCTTGCCCGTTCAAATTTGATTATTTTTCTTATTACAGAGATTTTAAAGATACATCCGCAAACAAATTATTTAACAGATTCGTTTCCTCTAGACAAATCCTGCAATAACAATCGCTAAAAGTCCGTATAAATATATTATTGCTGATTTTATAAAGTAATATAAAATAATCGTACATTTAATGTTAACACTCGAACGACGGACATTTTTGACAAAAATATAATTCAGTGCACTTAGGATTATGTGAATGTTGAAATCAGTGGCAAAATAACTGTGAATAAATTAATAACAGAATTAAAGTAACTTTACACACTAGATAGTTAAATAAAAATATTTGTACTGAATTTTTAATTTAATTATATTTTTAGCTCATACATATATATTTTGATTTGTCCAACACGTTTCAAACTGTGGGTCCAAATGGACCCGAGGATTAATATCGATTCCCAAATTTCAGTTTTTAATGTAACTATTTTTTTAGCATATATATATATATATACTTTGATTTGTCAAAAACGTTTCAATCTGTGGGTACAAATAGACCCGAGGATTAATATTGATTCGTAAATTTCAATTTTTAATTTAACTATTCTTTTAGCACATATATATTTTGATTTGTCAAAAACGTTTCAAACTGCGGGCCCAAA